TATAAAATATATAATAAAATTTAAGGAAAATTATAAGAAAAATGGTAATAAAAATTCGTTAATATTACAACACACAAAAAACACCAAATTTTCTAAATATGAGAAACATCTAAATCAAAGCTGATTTTTATTATATATTTTTTATTAAATTAACTTTGTCTTCTTATATAAGGATTAGGTATAGAGATAAGCACTATGCGCATTTAAAAACATACTATGCTGCATAGTACATATGATCTGTATGCTATGTATAGTGTGAATAGTTAGATTCACTTGCTGTTGATATAACAATTAAGTGATCTTTTATTATTATAAAAAACAATTATTGTTATAGTAGCAGTATATATTTATTTATTATATATTATATAAAATAAGCATTAAATGCACAATTTATATATTTATTTATTCATTTTTATTTTTTTCACTATATGTTTCTTCACTATCTGTTTTATCATCAATTTCTTCACTATTAATCTCATTAAAATTTTTATTTTTGCTATCTATTGATATATTTTCTTTACTTAAATCATTAACTAGTAGATCTAATACAACAATATTATCATTTTGATCTAAGTTGTGTTGTAACCTACTATTAAATCATGCTTTAGCCTTTAATATAACAGGAAATTCTTTTTGTAGACAGTTAAGTTTGTAATTACTATAAACATAAACCAATTTTAACACACCTTCATTAGTTAATTATAACCTTTTCTTATTATAAATATAAAAAAAAGCAGACCAATTTTGTTTGGAGGCTGTTGATAAAGAAGAGATCGAAAGCATTCTAATTGCAACTTTATACAATTAGGGAGCTAAATTCTCAAAATTGAGTTTTCACTATGCAATTGAATCAACTTTTCCAACAGTCTTCTATGTCAATTGAATATTAAATATCCCAATTTTAGTTTTATATTTAGTTAATTGCTGCTAAATTATTTCTGCATTATCTGAATAATATCATTGAAGTTTTTGTCTGTAATATCATGGATCCAAAGATATGCAACCAACATAACTGAGTGGTATATTTTTTTCATCTATCTTGCAAAATATTTTAATTTTATTATTTTCACTAGAAAAATAATTTTGTATTAATATAAAAAATAGCTAAAGCTATTAATTTTACTATTGTTTACTATAAGACTCTAGTTGTTCATAATACTAAAAATAAAATAATGCTAGCTGTGATATATTAGATTTGAATAACAAAATACTAGTAATAAATCTATCCAATATAAAAGAAGTTTCTCAATATTTTTCCAAAAAATTTCATTCCCAATAATCTTATTAATTGATTCTGGGAATTTGTTATAATTATTGTGTGCTATTTCTGTAATAGCTAATTTAAGCATGAACTTATTTTGTAAAACTGAATTAAGGCATGTTGCCAAAGATCTCTATCTTGTCTTAACAGGATATTTTAATGATATTTGCCACTGGTATGTTGCTAATTGGTAACATTTTAAAATTGCTATTAGAATCTGGTATTAACAAAAATATGAAACAATTGCATGAGCATTTTTAAAATATTAGAACACCACAATATCTTTATAATATCACTAATCAAAAGATTTAAGCTATGGACAATACAGCCCAAAAATATAATTATAGGATATTTTAATTCTAGTAACTGCCAAGCCTTTTTTATCACCGAAGCATTATCTGTAATTATAGCTAAAATCTTAATTAACTCAATTTCAATAATTATTTTTTTCTAAATTTTTAGCAACAATTTCTTCAGTTTAATGTGTTTTGTCAGTTGGATATGTCAAAAAAAAAACTAGTTTTGGCATCGTGATAATATAATTGGTCTAATGTTCTTGCACCAAATTCGACCACCCATCAGATATAATGCATATATCTATATATTCATTAATTAAAGCTTTAATATTATGCTTGGTTCATTAAAAATACAATCTAATAGTTTTGTAGATAGTTTTTTTCTATTAGGTAATTTAAATGCTGGTTTCACTTATTTCTATAAATCTTTAATAGGTTTATTTCTGGTAATAACAAAATAGACCACAGTAAATATTGACCTTGCAAATATTAATTCAAGTGACTTTTGTTTTCCTTTTATGATGCAATCAACTTTGTACAGCTTTAGTGCTGAGGATGAAGATACAAGATTTGATGAAGTAGATGTGCTTATTAATATTTCATTATCACTTTCTTCATATGAATTACCAAAAAAAGTTTTTTTGTGCCAATGATATTTTAGTATATATCAAACATGTGTACAGGATGTGCTTATTAATATTTCATTATTTCTTTCTTCATATGAATCACCAAAAAAGTTTTTTTTGTGTCAATGATATTTTAGTATATATTAAACATATATACAGGCTACTTTTAATGAATTATTAATTTGCTGTTTACATTTACTACATTTTTCTTTTTTGTTTATATTCTGATACATGTTCCAGTTTAACAAACAATTTCCATATAGGATCTGATAAAGTCATCATGTTATTGATTAAACTAATTATTTCTGAAGCATTTAAAAAAAAAATTTTTTTTATAGTTTATAACCATTTAATTTTACTCCTTTATTTAATGATGCTTTACTTATGTTGTATGTTAGTTTAAAAGTTTATAACATTATTATATATTATACTTCATTCTTAATTATTATCTT